ATTGTCATATTTTTTGCTTGATAAAACTATGAGGTACAAACTCCCCCTCAAATCATGCTAAAAGAAAGTCATAAAAAGCACTAACTCCCCCTCAAAATACCCTCCAATTCTCCCAGAACAAAACTCAAGAAGAAATCAAGGATTTTGAAAAAAACATCCAATTACCAACGATATCACCAAAATTCTCAAATACTAGCATATGAAAAAGCTAATAAACAAGAGAGTAGACCATAATTATGTCAATCCAAAATTAAAGTGATGTTACCTTGCTATACAATCGTCATCTCAAAGTTAAACGCACATGGGGAGTATGCCGTCAAAATACCTACAAATGAGAAGATGTCGAGGCCTCCGTGTTGGGGTTAGAAATAAGAAATTTTGGAATCCAACACTGAGTCACACGACCACTAGAACCAGTAGGTACATATGCACTAATAAAATCAGAATCAGACTTACCAGAAAACTTACCCTTTTGCTTCACAAAAGTCCAATTTGAATTTCGCGTAAAATTGCCCCGAGGCCGGTCTGACCGCCGCTGTGCCTGCGGTCTGACCGGGCCTGGCAACCGGTCTGACCGCTGGCCTGTCTGACCGACTGGTCAGTGTCGGTCTGACCGTGGTCTTCGAATTAAAACCCGATTTTTGCCAACGTCGTTTTGTAAAAGCAATTTCTCTTTCCTTTTTCTTTTTATGGGCAAGTCTAAAACAAAAACCAACCAAATGTCCATCTTTTCCACAAAAAGAACAAGTGTACATTTCACGATAAGTTTGTGAAGTAGATAGTTTTGAAATTGATGGTTTTGCAACAACAGAAGGTTTGGATTCAAAACATTTGATTTCGAAGAAGATGCACTTAAAGAAGACATGATGCAGTAGATTTAAACACAGTGTTCTTAAGCTCAGATTCAATCAAAATTTCACCTCTCCTAGCAACACCCAAAACAGTAGGAGGATGTCTAGAATTATGAGCATAAGGATCAAAACCTAAACCACGATTGTGTGTGCTAACCTTAGATTGATCAAGAATCATGTTGAGGTTCTTTTTACCATCAGAAAATCTTTGCAAAGAACTTTTCAAATAAGAAACCTCCTGAGTAAGAATAGCACAATTTTTGCAAGCATCCAAAAGACCTTTTTGTTTTCTACAAGTTGAGCAAGAAAACACCTCATCTTGTTTAACAATTTCTTCCATGTGTTTAACATGCCCTAAAGCATCTTTCAACTTCATCTCATTCAAAACACACTTTGAACAATCTTGAGAAATCAAAACATCATTGTTTTGTTTTGCCTTATTTGCACATGAAGCATTGACCAAAGAACTCGCACAGAAAGCAACATTGTATTTTTTCAACACATTCTTTGTCAAAATTAACTCATCAACAACACGAGCATGTAAAGCAAATCCAAGAGCAAAAGAAGATTCCAACTTTTTAGATTTTTCAATCTCAAATTCTAATTTTTTGCAATTAATAGAATTGACATCTCGCAAAGCATTAATTTCAGAAAACAAAACTTCACAAGATTTACATTCATCATCTTTAGGAATCAAAGATTTTAATCTAGAAATTTCAGCATTTAAAATCTCAATAGTGTGATCCTTCTCATCAAGTGCAATAGAACATGTTTGAAGTTTCTTACCAAATTTGTAAGCAGTATATTCTAATTGATCATAACTAAGCTTTTCCTCATTATCATCATCAGATTCATCAACATGAGAAATAGCATTACGAGCAATAAAAGCTAGATCAACAACTTGCTTACCTTTGCCCTCATCTTCATCTTCAGATCCATCAAAAACTTTTATGAGTTCTTGAATTAACCACTGCATGCAATGCTTCTTCTTCTCCTTCTGCTTCATGTTCTTCTTCTTGTTCACGTCATCATCCTTGACTCTCCCATCATCTTCCTTCTTGCCTCTCCCAAGCTTAGGACAATGCGAGCGAAGATGATCAAGTGCACAACACTCAAAACAACGATTCGGTTCTCCTCTTTTCCTGTTCCTAACATTTTTCATAGCTCAAGAAAATTTGTTAGATAGCAAAACCAAGTCCTCCTCTTCGAACTGTTCGAGTTGATCATCGGAAATGGCATTAAATAAAGCAAGAACAGAAGACTTTGATGAAAAAACACCAACATCCAAAGAAGATGAAGACGAAACCAAAGCACTAGACTTAGAATCACCTTTACGAGAAAGAATATTCATCTCATGAGTTTTCAATTTTGTGTAAAGCGAATCCAAAGTCAAAGTAGTCATGTTCACAGACTCCTGAATAGATGTAACTTTCATCTCCCAAATAGACATGTCAAGACCATTCAAAAAGTGGCGAGAAATCTCAGATTGTGGATAATTAGCATCATAAGAAGAATCAACAGATCTAAGATCACTCAAAATTTTATTAAACCTAGAAAGATAGTCATCCAAAGCTTCTCCAGGTTTCATCTCAAATTTAATGTACTCCTTTTTGAAAAGATCACGATGAAGTTCTTTAATGTTATTTTGTACCTTGATAAAAATTATTCAAAGCAACCCAAATCTCATGAGCAGTTTGAAGATGAGCAACACGATCATAATCTGAACGAGAAATCCTACTCAAAAAAAATATTGCGTGCTTTGCAATTTAGTTCAAAAGCAGTTTTTTCAGCAGCAGTATTAATAACTTCAGGAATCACATAAGGAAGAGAAACTTTTCTCCAAATATCATAATTCTCAGCCATAATGTAAGATTGCATCCTACTACACCAATGAGAAAAATCCGTTGCATCGAAAATATGAGGCTTAGTTGTAAACTTATTAGAAGTAGCCATGGCAAAAACTCTAGATCGATAAAAATCCAAAGAAGCAATCAAGGCTCTGATACCACTTGTAGGATCGAATCACAAGAACTAAGCCAACCAGAGGGGGGGGGTGAATGGTTGGTATACCCAAAAACCAAAAACTTTTAGCGGAAATAAAAGTTACCCTCGAAATCGATGGATCGCGGTCTGACCGAAGTAGTAGCGCTGGTCTGACCGCCTGGATATCGTCGGTCTGACCGAGATTGGAACTCCGGTCCGACCGCCTGATCAGCTGGCGCTTGCTATCGCCGCCGCCGGTCTGACCGCTCTTAACGCTGCCAGTCTGACCACCGCTTGCCGCCGGTTCTTGACCGCCAATATATCGCCGGTTAGACCGCCGTAACCCGATGAAACACAAATCGAAGAACTCTCAAAGTAGATTGACAACCATTATTAGCTTCTCTATGTGTTTACAAAGTGCACCAACAAAACTCCCTTACAAAAATCTCCGAATAAACTCGACAAACCTAACTAAACAAGCAACACAGTTGGTCTAAAAAGCGATATCGGGAAGCCTCAAAGCTCCCCCTCTATTTATAAATGAGGTCAGCTAGCCTAAAGCCACGAACCAAACTCATACTAAGAGTCCTAAACACCCTTAGGAAACCCTCTAGTACAAGAAAGAAACTTTACATAACCAATCGTACCAAGATTAGGACTCTGGGCCAAATTCGACTCCACATCCGATACGCACACAATACCTCCATCGTATGCCATATGGAATCTCCATCAACCACGTGCATTAACTCTAGCCTTAGTATTCCGCATGATATCTGACCACCACGGACATCGTCTTACCACCAAGCCGACTCCCGGTCCATCACCGCAAATACTCTCCCGAGGCATCGAGTCACCTACACATGAAACAAACAAAGAAACCATATTCCGAGACCAAGCTATCACTAAGTTGACTCATTGTTAGCAAACAACAGTATTACATACGTATAGTATCCATGAAACAATCATGGATATCCAAACAAACAACCAGAAACCGAAACCGACACAGCGTCGGCTGGTCAGACCGCGGGCAAGCCGGTCTGACCGCTCACATAGCGCCGGTCTGACTGGCAACCACCGCCCGGTCTGACTAGTCCCAACAAAACAACAAACCCTGTTCATCACCTGAAAATCAATTATCTCCAAAACCACTTCGATAATAATCTCCAATTATCAAAACCAATAATCACAGATGCCAATTGTTCATCACAGAATAAGAATCAAAACACACGTTGATCTTACACAATGAAGCTCACATAATACTTCCTTCCCCCCAACTGACTAGAGGGTAGGACCCCAGACATACACTATAAGACTTAGGATAAGGTAATTGATGACTTTTTGTCTTTTAACACACATCATGGACTGACTGATTACTAGACTCACTAGAACATGCAATTTATAACTTCTGTTGACTTTGTCGACAAGTACTGAGGAAGGATGGCCTGGACGGTTATGCCATCGGCCAAAGGACACCGTGGTGACTCCATAAACATGTTTGATCGACGACTGGTGTGGTGAAAAAGCAGGTAGAGGATAAAGTCCTTTATAACCGTGACAACTAAGCGGAATTCTCCACATGGTATGATCCTTGATAAAGAAAAGTTAGAGTATAATTCAAGGAAGGCAAAATTATCATAAGCATACCTATGGGCTGAAACATGTTTTTTTTTTTGGCTCTAGGAACGTAATGAACATTATTCAAATAGAGATTATGATTGTGGGTCTTAACAACAAAACATCCAATATGACTAATCTCCATACCTGCACCACTTGCCATTTGGATTTGTTCAGTGCCATTGTACTTCTCACGGACTGTCAATTTTTCAAGTTCACCGGTTACATGATCCATAGCACCCATATCAAGATATCAGTTAGTATCTACACCATATGATGCTGCTGTCCCTGCAAAAACATTCATCCGGCTCAAACAATTTATCATATATCGATACCAACAGTCCTTTTGTAGCATAGTTGACATTTGGGATGGTTGTCGCTATTGCCACCATTGTTGCGGCCTCTAGAGTTGTCATGGCCACATCCTTGCTTATTGTTGTTGAAGCCAGCGCATCCACGAGCATTGCTACGCCCGCGTGCTGCGTTCCACAGCCCCTGTTGCCATGTTGACAGATCCTTGAGCATCGTTTCCGTGATGCAATGAAAGCCTCTGCTCAAAGCTTAAGAGCTGAGCAAAAGGTTCGCCTAGTGTAACCCGATCTTGCCACCCCACAATAGAGGAGACCACGGGTTCAAACTCCTCATCGAGGCTAGCGATGATGTAGGAGATGATGTCATTGTCATCTATATGCTTTTTAGAGGCGATCATGTCATCGACGAGGGCGTGCAGTTTCCCCGAAGTATGTCGTGATTGACATATCTCCCTTTTTAAGCACGGCGTGTGTCCTGGAAGAGAACATTTCCTCCTCAATATACCATGTGGCTGCTACTGCTAGAGATACTACAATCTGGACTAGAATATCTCTAGACATGGAAGAAAGTAGGTATCCTAGTACCTGTTTATCTTTGGCTATCCACTCTTCCTAGTCGGGACTGGAAACCATGATTTCTTTTGCGCCCTCCTTGATCTTGATGATGTGGTGGAGGCTTTACTTGCTCCGGTGAGGTAACCCTCAAGGCATTCCCCTCTGATGATGGCGAGAACTTGTGCCCTACGTAGGGCTTGGTTTTCTTTGCTAAGTTTCTCCGAGACCGCTTGGCTTACTAGGATTTACGATCAAGGATTTGAACGAACTCGCCATAGTGGCGTTGCTCGGCAGATTAGATGGTAGGGGATCGGTAGAAACTATTTCCTGCTCTGATCTATATAGAAAAATAAAGAGGAAAGCGGTAACTTGCCCTCGGTTCACCTGCATGTTAATATAGGATGGAAATAGCCTCCATCGTGACTTACAAGGAAAGCATACACCAACCAATCAAAACAACCAGCCTGTATATGATATCATCTACCACATGAGACAATTACTGAATACAAGATAGAGATATCTAATTAAACTACGTTATCTAACTGCTGTTGAGATATCTCGGTTGACACATGACTAGGTCCCCCATCATCCTCAGACTTGGGAAATTTGATGTGCTCCACAAGAAGCCACACAGCAGTGAGGAACTCACCACCAGTGCTCAGCTGCCTGGCATGTGACTCCTCGCTGCAGTGGTGCGCCGCATAGCACAACATCTCGAACCACACCCCAGCAATCAACCCCAGCATGTTGGGCACATTGCATTCGTTGCGAAGTAGGTACCCAGCGACTGCAGTCCCATCAAGGTAAACCTGGCCGTGTTCATTATCTGTGCTCTCACTGCCAAATTTTTGGAACAACAAGCTTGCTAGTTTCTTGCTTTTTGAGCGGTTGTTGTCTCCACCCTCCGAGCTACTGGTGGAGTGCTCCTGCCAGAGTTCAACCAAACTTGCACATACCTTTGGGTACAGACCTATGCGAATTGGCCCAGGTAGCATATCCGGGTGCTGCAGAAGGAGGTACAACATGTAGTTGGAGATCTCCTTGATCACCTTTACAACAGGTTTCTCTGTATGTTCCACCTCTTCTTTGAAACAACATAGGTAGACATCGGTTGCGACATGCCACACAAGGATGCTTTTTTCAAAGTCAATGTCTACCGTGCTCCAGCTGAGTTCCTCATCCATTTTATTCTCATAGAGGATGCACATACGCCGTGCATTCCTGATGTCCCCTCGGCCTCTCTTTTGTATCTCTTTTAGCACAAACTCCTTGATATCACTTGAAATTGAGGTTGTGTTTGAGTAATGCAGTTTATTAAACCAGTTCTCAAGCCCCACTTTCATGGCAATCCTGCCTCTCAGATCCGTCATATCACGGGTACAGAAATCTAGCAAGTTATATTGTCCAATAGAATCCAGCCATAATCTACTTCGTCCTGCTTTCACAATCTGACGAGTAAACATTACAGAATTGCAGGGCCAATCCCATTTCCTAGTATGCAAGAACGCACATGTCCAAGAAGACCCTACAGTCCTCAGCAATGTTGTGATCTCAAGGAGGATAGCCCCGATCAACAAAGCATAAGTGACGGCAAAATCAACTATGTGATAAGCATCTCTCCTACTGAAATGGAATAGCAGCAGTGCAGCAACTGTGGCAGGTAGTGAAAAGACTCGAATGCAACGGCCATACCAGGTGTGTATAACCGCTGCCTTGCTGTATAAAATGTCATACATGAGGGATAGCTCCATCTCGATTAACCTGTACATGTGCTTTCCACCATCAATTTGCATGGCTTACTCGACAGCACTTCTTTGGGGCTCTGACATCGAAAGAGCATCAACGAATAGGCTCTTGCAAAAATCGAACATGTAATGAGCACCCAACAGAGCCTGCTTTAGATCTCTGTTCATCCTCTCTTTTCTGGCCTGCTCAAGGTAAGGATTGTGAGCACTTGAATCATCTAAAAAATCAAGAGAGCTTCGGATGCTGTCCATGTTAGCACACATGAATGCCCATACCCTCTTCCCATACTTGACAACACCGACGGCAAACATTAGGATGATGGCCTCGACCAAAGTCCTACTGCCGGCAATGTATCTGTAGAGAACATAAGCAACACCCAACACCTGCACTGTGAAAGTTAACAGGTGGCGCAACCAGAGCTGGTTGTCCTCCAAGGAATAAGCTGTGATGTTATCCGGGCCACCCAGGTGAAGTAAGAGGAATGTTGCCCAGAACGCATTCAGCAGGTGCTCACGTGAGCTGCTGCTTGTGGTCATGGATAGCTGGCCAAGCGTGTAGATGGCAGTGGAGTCAGCAGATAGATAGGAAAGCCATAGGATGATCCTTAACACTTTGTAACCTTTGTGTCGACGGATCCATGACAAGAGGTGGAGGATAACTTGTAGAGTGAAGCTGAGGATGATTAGTATTTGAATTTGCCACTCTTTCCAGAGTTGAGCTAGTCCTCCGGCCATTGCTCCTCGGCTCAACTGCAAACAACATCATATTAGTGAAATACTCCATCTAAAACCAGTCAGCCCTATACCCTTCCATAAAATGCTCACTATTCCTTGAAAGGAAAGAGGAATATGGGTACTCAGTAACATTCTAGCAGAAAAAAATATTTTTTTACGAGCTTTAAGCGCTAAAGATAAATATTTCGTCAAAAATATTTTGCGAAAGATAACATCTAACTCAAAAATACTATCATAATATTAAAAGCTTATTATTGTAATATAAAATTAGTTATCAAGGATTTATAAGTTAAATATTTTTTGTCTGGGTATATAAAGTACTCCCTCCTTTTTCATACTGTAAGATATTTTAGTTATGTTCTAAATCATACTTAGGATAATTGACTAAGTTTAAAAAATACACCAACATCTAAAATATCAAAGTAGGTTAATTAAAATCTACGATTATATATGTCTTGATAATATATTTATTGGGCATTACAGAGGTCGTTCTTATGTATAATATATATTTCTCTAAATTTCATGGAAGTTTTAAGTTGACTTAAAAGATAACCAAAATGCCAAATGAGGAGTATATCAAGATAAACTGCTGACTACCTTGTCGTTCTATAGGTGTTACTAAATAACAACATGTCGAACCAAATATATATAGGGGTAAACAGAGCACTGCACTGCAGCAGCTTGCACGAGAGCTGATAAAGTGGAAACCACAAACACAATGTCAAATCCTACTTTCAGAAGCATATCGGAATTCGCAGTATCTAAATTAAATGCAACTGCAGGGTGTGAGCAATTGTGTTCTAAGTTAACAATCTGGTATATATGAAAATTTCTCAAAGATATATTGGTCTAATCTCTTGAGATGTTTATAGAAGTAGGATGTGCGTATGTGGATTTCTAGAAGTGAGTGTGCATGTGTTATGAATGGTTACGTTTGTACTATGACTTTTTTATTTTCAAAAAAAAAAAAAATCCATGAACACATTGGTAGTAGCCAAGCGAAGTATAACGATTGTTGTAAAATCTGAATAGATCCTGCTTCCTGCCCCGATGTGTCTCACACTCTTGATGTGTACTAATATCAGAGAGACCACACTGGGGAATAATCCTAGGATTGATTTGTACTTGTCTTTCACCATGGCCTGAACAGCCCCCAGCCCCAATTTACACCGGTCTAATTAACCGAATTTAACCAAACAGAAATCGTCCGTACGTTGGTGAATCGCACATTCAGAGAAACACCAATTGGAATCCAACAATATAAGAGAACCGATCACAGGCGCAAAAGCTATAGGGCTGTCAGCTGGCAAGGCATTACAAACGATCACTGCAAACATGCTATAGATATGCAGTAGAAGCGTAGAATATAATGTTCATATTCGACAGAAAAATCAAGTGAAACGAAACTAAGAGAGGCGAGAAGAAGGCAATATACACGTACCGGCGAACGGGTCTAGACCAAAATAATCGATGAATTTACCGGTCCCTCTGGCTTGAACTGACTGACTGTCTCCCAATTAAGCTCCTATTATACTGGAGTGGAGTGGCACTACTGGACACTAAGGGTGAGTTCGAGAGGAGGGGAAAAGAGAAGATTGGGAAGATACGCAAAAAGAGGTGAGCCATTAGTATATGATTAATTGAGTATAAACTATTTTAAACTTCAAAAATGGATTAATATGATTTTTTAAAACAACTTTCATATAAAAATTTTTGGTAAAAAACATTCCGTTTAGTAGTTCGGGAAGCGTGCGTGCGGAAAACGAAACGAACTAACTCATGGACTCCTCCTGCCGAAAGCTCCCTAAGGAAGCAAGAAGAGTAGTATGTTAATTTGAATGCATGGCTTAATACTGGAGTGGTGGATCAATCCATTTTAAATTGGTACTCCCTTTATTTTAGGTTATAAGACGTTTTGACTTTAGTTAAAGACAAATTGTTTTAAGTTTAACTTAGTTTATAGATAAATATAATAATATTTATAATACTAAATTAGTGTCATCAAATCAATAATTGAATATATTTTCATAGTAAATTTGGCTCGGATTGAAAATGTTACTATTTTTTTCTATAAATTTGGTCAAACTTAAAGTAATTTGATTTTGATTAAAGTCAAAACGTCTTATAACCTGAAATAGAGATAACCTGAAACAGAGAGAGTAACTAACTTTGGGCTTTCAATAAGTCTCTGCATGTGCTCACTTTATTATCCTTTCGCAAGGCAAGGCTAGATGACTGTCCAAGTGAGCTTTGTATGTGCTAACATGTGCCTGCTGCTTTAATTCAAGTGATCATCAGACCATATGTATTGATGTGATCAAGAAGCAACTAATATTTTTTTGTTAAGAGTTTTACCCGTCGTCGTGCTTCTAGTCAGGGAACATGGCCAAACTTCGAGAACCGCCGAACAGAATCCGGTAAAAAGCAAATTAACCATGGAGGCTAAGTATATATGTGTCGGTTATTAATTTATCCTAGCTGAGTTAAATTAGCCTGGTTTCGAGTTAATTATCCAACTGTCATTAATAAGGTTATTAGCGAATAGATTATCAAAGTAATTAGTATATTTTATTTATTTTATTTGTTGAGTCCGAAAAAGACTTCGTGTGGGCCTGCGTGCATCCCTTTATTAGGGTTGATTGGCTGTGTAACGGAGTTTTTTTTTTTTTTTTTGTCGTTCTGTTGAGAGATCTTTTGGAAAGCTTATGGTGATCCCCTCTGGGAAGGTTGGAGAGGAAACTAGGTCAGGAGATTACTTTCTTGTTCTTGCTGCTTGGTACATGTTAGTGCCCTCTCTTCTGCTCTTGTTAGAAAACAGGGTAGAAGATTATTGTATCCCGGGTTCGGTGTTCAACTATTTGTAAGCCGAGCTCTCGATTATTTGGTTTATTTTGCTGCTGAATTCTATTTAATTTACATATACAAGTCCGGTTTAATGCGTCAAGTTACTCACTGGAGGTGTGCATTAATTAGTGGCGATTTCATGCTGCCTCACAATTTTAGAAAGTTAACTTGTTTAATTGCTATTGGTACCATAAAAAGGGACATATTCGGGTACTCGCTGTCGGTGCTCATCATCTATGTTCTTTGCAACTGTAAACAAATATGGGCATGCATAGAATCTAGTAGGTAAAGAAGTCGTATATATAAAAAGTGCTAGACCAATAAGGTGAGTACACTGAAAGTTGGATTAACCCAGTTAGAAGGAAAAGAATGTGTGTTGCTAATTTATTGACATTGGTCCCCATGCTGGTGGTTATAAAATTTTTGGCCATCCCCTTTGTTAATGGGTATGTTCAATCTTCTAATACAATAATGCATGCACCTAGGGATTTGAATTATATCTTATGCTTGATCATCTACGAAGAGGCTCTTGCAAACATTGAACAGGTAATGAGTGCCCAACAGAACATTTCGTAGATCTGCGAATAGAGGAGAGTCAAGGGATGACACAGACTGCGTGCAGCTTCTCTTTTCTGTCCAGCTCAAGATAACGATGGCGAGCACTTGAGCGCTCAAACATGAGGACGATGGCCTCGACCAAGGTAGAGAACACAAGCAGCACCCAGAACTTGCATAGCAGGTGGCACAACCAGAGCCTATTGTCCTCCTAGGAATAATCTGTAGTGTTGTCTGGGCCACCCATGTGAAGCAATAGGAATGTTGTCCAGGATGCAATCAGCTGGTGCTCACCTGAGCTGCTGCTCGTGGTGATGGATAGCCGGCCAAGCATGCAGATTGCAGTGGAGCAGCAGATACATAGCAAAGCCAGAGGAGGATCCTTCACAGTGTGTAACCTTTGCACCGACGGATCCATGACAAGCGGAGGACGATAACTTGTAGAGCGCAGCCTAGGATGACTAGTATTTGGATATGCCACTCTTTCCAAAGCTAGCTAGCTCTGCAGCCATCGCACATCGGCTTAACTGCAAACAACATCACATTAATGAAATACTGAATCTAGAACCGGCCAGCCTTGCATCATTAGCTAAAATGCTCGTTTTTTTTTTGGAGCTAATACACTTGTTGTTCCCTGAAAGGAAAGAGGAACATTCTAGTAGCAATTTTTTTTAAATCAAATCAAAATAAAGTTTCGTGAGCTCTGAGCGATGTTTGAAAAGAGAATCCAAGCGCTAAAGATTAATATTTCCTTAAAATTTGAAAACTTTGTCAATCCATAATTTATTAAAAATTTTCTATTAATAAATAAAAAGGGTAGAATCTAAGTTGAAAATACTGTCATAATGTTATAAGTTTGTTATAATACAAAATTAATTATCAAAGATTTAAAAGCTAAATATTTTTTGGCTGGATATATAAAGTACTCCCTCCATTTTTATATTGTAAGATGTTTTTGTTATGTCCTAAATCATACTTAGGGTAATTGACTAAGTGTATAGTAAAATACAATAACATCTAAACCATTAAATTAGGTTAATTAAAATCCATAATTGAATATGTTTTGATAATATATTTATTGGGTATTATAGAGGTCATCCTTATGTATAATATATTTTTCTCAAAATTTCAGTTAAGTTCAGAGTTGACTTAAAACATACTGTAACTACCTTATCGTGTTATCAATATATTTTTAGAAGGTGTCGCTCTAAAGTGTTACTAAATGACAACATATGTCCAACGAAATATATATACAGCAGCTTGCACGAGAGCTGGTAAAGTGGAAACCACACACCCAGTGGCACGCCTTCGGGCGATCGGCTTGCTGAAGAACACCACTGGTCTGCTACCTTCCTGGAGCACAGGGCCCATGTATGTTCTCGAAGTCTCTCTCGACGATGAAGTCCATGTTGAAGTCTGGTAGTTGAAGCACTAGGGTGGCCATTTGGGCTTCCTGTAGTGCATGGAACGCCGTTCCGCCGCCTCTTCCCAGCTGAAGACCACCTTGCGGAGTAGTGTTGTGAGTTGCGTGGCGATGGAGCCAAAGTTGTAGATGAAGTGACGGTAGTAGCCTACAAGCCCGAGGAAGCCACGCACCGCCCACGCCATCTTGGGGATCAGCCAATCCTAGAAGGCCTTGATTTTCTGGTGGTCCATCGGCACACGGAGCCTGAGATGACATGGCCAAGGCAGGCAATGGAGGTGAGGCCGAATTTGCACTTGGAGCGTGCGAGGTGGGAATGATGATCCTGCAGGGTTTGGACCATGCCGAGCTGTAGATTAGGATGTCATAAAAAACCAACATGAACCATCGAAGGAACGGAAGGAGTATGTCGTTCATGAGCGTCTGGATGGTGGCAGAGGCATTGGTGAGGCTGAACGTGTCACGCCCGGAATTTCTATCCAAAATTCCAAACGCTTACATGTGTGTGAACCCTCGTCCAGGAATCAGCCGAGGCACACAATAACAAATTGATAATAGAGTACAATTATTACTCTAATTAATAAGCGAATAAAATGTCATTACAGAGGTAGATAGTTCCTCTCAATCAATAAAGATCTAAGCAGCGGAAAATAAATAAACGGCGCAGACGGCTCCACTCCACAGGCAGCTTGACCAAGGCTACACCTAATCCTCCACACCATCAGCCTCATTGTAGAACTCTTCCTCTGATGAATGATTGCAAGGTGAGTATATGACATACTCAGCAAGTCACGCAGCAAATATGCAAGTGCACAGGATAACAAAGGATGGCGTAATAGGGATCCATTTGCAAAAGCAGCATTTAGCAAACATTTGAGAATTTAATAAAACAGTTAAGTATTAATTAAGCAATATTAATCCAACGCTATACAACATACCCTGTTGTATAGGCCCATCCATTCTGAACAACCATCCCGGCTGCACAGTTCTATCTCCAAACCAGGAATGTACCATTCCAAACCAGGAGCTAATCAAATTATTACCAATTTAAGCATCATTTACTATGGTGAGAAGTGTGAGACTAATCACGAAAGACATTGTTAGACCCGCCCATAACCGCGGGCACGGCTATTCGAATAGTTTTACTCTGATCAGAGGTGTACCACTGTACCCACAAGACACAACCCCACATCATGTCACCATGTGCCTCAATACCACCACGGTACCTCGGATAGGAGTTGTGACAATACCCCTCATACAACACAATCCACTGCAGCGCACCTTCCTGGATCATAATCACCCCCTTATAAACAAGGCATGGACTCCCCAGCGACCCCCGTGGGCTTATCTCCGCCACTTCTCAGTCTGGTGCCCCGCAATGAACCATGCTATACAAAAGATAAAGCCGTTGCCCATGCTGGCTTGTGGTTGGCACGATAAATGTTTCACAACCGAAACTCGTGAACCGGTCCTTAATTGTCATGAGCACGACCATCAAAACCATGTGCTCACAACCCACCATTACCAGGTTTTAGTTGGCACATTAGTTAATTAACCAATCACGATTGTCCATCGTGAACTATCATTAAGCCATCATTAAATAATAGTGAGTCATAAGTTATCCCATAAGTGTGCTAATGTTTCTAAGCAGGGCTAAGCAATTATATCTAATATCTAGTTGAACCAATATACATAAAGCTCAACTAGTCAAATTATAATAACCCAAGGTATCAAGGAATAAAGTAATCAAGAACAA